GATGATTTGGAATAAGCCCAATAGCTTATCCGTCAGCGCTGGTCCACCCTCCTTGTAGATTTCGGCAGGAATCATGTCGGGGCCAGGTACTTTGCCATTGGACATTTGGCGGATCGCTGTCTGTATCTCATCAAAAGTTGGGACGGCGTCCAGTGAATTGTTCGTTGGGACCTGGGGGAGACTTTCAATGGCCTCATCATTAATGATGGAAGGTGTATTGAGCACACTTTCAAAGTGTTCCGCCCATCTTTCCAAGATTTTCTCTTTGTCTGTAATGAGCGTAGAACCATCAGCACAAAGGAGAGGGGAAGTGCCTGAGGTGGAGACACCATAGATTTCTCTCAGGCCACGGTAGAAGTTTCTCATGTCTTTCTTGTCTGCAAAGCCCTGTATTTCATCAGCTTTTGAATTCAACCAGGAATCTTATAATATATATAATATGTATTAAAAATAACTTAATTTTAAGTAATTGACCTTGTTCTTATTACCTCTTACTTTCAAATTGTGATTATTTCTTTGGTTCAGTAATATTACTTATATATTTGTGTTAGTTCATAATGCTGTGATTGTAAATATTTTATTCTTTTGTAAATAATATTTTAACATTCATTCTAACGTTAAATTATTCTTTTTAAATGACTATTACTCAATGAAAAATTTTGAACCTTAACTTTATTTTAAATTTCATTTTTGAAAAGTGTAGAACAAATTCATTTCCTCTTTTGTAACAACTTAGTTATGAATCCAATACTACTGCATTTTGTAGGTAAAGAATATTTGTGTATTTATCAGCAGCTATAAAAGTTATTATTATTCAAATATTTAGATAAGTGGGAAATTATGTCAGAGTTCTGATCCTGAAAGCATTTTCTTTAGTTATAAGTATAACTTCAGTTGTGTTATAATTTTTTTCATCTTTATTTCATATACACAAGAAATGAAACAATCATTTTCATTCCTTTACAAAAAGCTTAGAGAATATTTTGAACGGTTATTGCATCTTTTTTTGGTAATACAAAACACTTATTATTGTGCTTTATTATGTAAATAATACATTTTATATTCAAGTTATAGAACTTCATATCTATATTTGAATCTAAAGTTATTTATTTTATACTTTTCATTTTTTTTTAAAATTGTTAAAAGATTATTAACCTCCATTAACATTTATCAGCTTTGTTATATTCAATGGTCAAGGTGTAGAGTTGGGATCTGTCCATTGTGCAAATTTATTATAGGGTAAGTGTGGTAGCTCAAAACTGCATGAGAATTATTGTATTGTGCTTGCATGATGCAGAGATCCACAGTCAGACATGATATAATTGTGTTCAAATCTCTGAGTCACATAATGTGTTAGTTATAAGAGTCTAAACTCGTCACTTAATACTAGGCTTGATGATGATCTTACTCTTTTTTTTTGCAAGAGTGTCCATCATAATGTTAAATGCTGTCAATAAGTTAATTTTATTCCCATTCTTCCACATAATGAGCAAAGAAACAAATTTATCTTTTATGACCTGGTAGACACATTGATAGTGTACAAAGCTTGATGTGATGAACAATAAGAATGATCTTGAAATCTAATCTGTGATTATTGGTCATATTATATTACTTCTTTAATTACGTGTGAACTTTGTAATGTAAATAACATTTAAATCTTATGAATTTTTCATGTTGATTTTAGTGTTATATCTTTGTTATGGTAGATAATGATCCCAACGATCTACACACACACACACTTTGCATAATGTTACAATGATAAAAAAAATGTTTGAGTCCATTAAGTATACAACGTCAAAGCTTTGATTTCATAGTTAAATATTTTTTTTACAAATATCTTTTATTATGCCAAAAAAGTCTCTTGCTTGTTGTATAACAAAAAATCTATATTGATTTTTAAATGAATCAAACCAAAATTTAATTGATGTGTCTAATATGGGGGGGGCGAGCAAGCAAAAAGTCTCTTTCCATTTGAAGGAAAAAAACTTTTTTTTCATTTGTGAACATTTTAAAAATATCTTTATTGCAGACATTAAACTTGGAAGATTACAATATAGAACAATTAACCACTGCAGAGAGAACGGAAAAAGTCACATTATTTTTTTGGAAAAAATTGCCTCGCAATGGTGTATTGCTCCATACTGTAATTTTCCAACTTAAGTGTCTGGATTATAAAAAAAACAATAATAATAGTAAAAAGTTAACATAAAAGGTGCAATTGTTTCAATTGTAAAGTGACTTTTTTCCCACTCTGATACTACTTCATATTCAGTATCAATTTAGTGTAAACATAATGGTTTCAATTAACTCTCAACGCTGGAAATAAAAATGTAGACAAATAAAAACACATATTTAGTTCAGAATCGATTAACAACAGTATTGCTTGAAAAATAAACATTTAAATAGGGAACTGTTTTTTTAAATGGTATGAAGCTACTGTCAAATTGTTTTGGATGAAAATTTTCATTGTTATATTTATATCAATTGCACTTAGACCTTAAGTCAGTTGTATAGAAATGTATTTTATTTGCATGATGGCTCCATTTTTGTTTTTTTGATTCATATGCATAATTTCATTACGTGAAAATTGAATAATTTGTTCTAGAAAAATAAAAAAAAGGCTTTTTTAATTTAATTTTTCTAAATTTCTCAGAACAAATACACATAGCTTGTCGGTATAGATGCCTATAAAGTTCTAAGTTAGCTTTTGTGTAATAGTGTTGTTTATTTAGCAGTATCTTCACATTGCTCAATAAAGATTTCATTTATTCAATTTTTTTTAATTTTAAAGAGCCAATGGCAAAAACGATGTTTGTCCTTTCAGGGGGTGGGGGGTTGGTCTGTCAAATTTAATTAGTTATTAAGTTTATAAGGCATCATAATTGATAATTGGTATAAACTTTTAGAACTATATTTAGTGACATATTAATTCATTTTTTATATTAATTTAAATGTTAAAATTCTACTGTTCATTGAGACGGAAATTATGAAGAAAGAATTCATTAAAATTAAATGACTGAATAAACTATTTCTTCAAATCTTATGAAAGATTCGCTAATTATTATGGTCACAGAAGAGATAATATCTGATCAGCGGCCCTGCATTTTAATGGTCAAATCAAGTTTTGTTTATCCTTTAAGTCTCTTGTTCCCAGTTAATGGGTCATGACCTCTGAAGAGGTCCTGACCTCTGATGAGTCTTGACCTCTAATGGGGTCCTGGAGGGCTCTCCCTGGGGACTGAAACAGTTAAAATGTTTTAAAAGAGTTTTTAATTGACTCTTATTATAGTTTGAAAATTTAAAATACTTCATCAATTTTAAATGTGTTTTCTCTTACTTATCAATTATTTTTTTCTTATGTATCAGGGTCAATTTGATTCTATAAAATGGGGCCATGACTCAAAAATGGTTTAGGAACCTATGATTTAAGTAAAGTGTAAGCTACGGGCATGCTATTATTGCAATTCTGTTATGCACATTTTATCAGCATGTACTGAGGGTGGAACACATCAGTCCTAACATGGGCTTGTAATGTTTGTTAATTGTGAGTTTGCAAAAATCTCCTGGTCATAAGGGACATGAAAGTCTGAAGCGAGCCTTCATTTTAGATTAGGATGCATATGAGGGATATAGTTTCTTTACATTACCATGACATTCTTGTAATTGTAATACAATTACTGAATATCTCTTTGCCACTTTTAACAACCTGTACAACTCAAGCTATTTTATGTTAAATTTATTTTACTGTATCTCACCACTTAAACTGCCACTAAGATATATTTTAAAAATTTTAAGTAGTTAAATTTTTTTAGCACTCAAACCTCATTAAGCCAATATTTTTGGCATTAAAAAATTAAATATTAATGCTAACTATGCATTTTACCAATTTATTTTGCATTTTACTCATTTTTCATTAAGTAAATTAAATTTCATAGAATGACAAAATATGAGTTATTTTGTTACTTTAATATATCACATTTCATGCAAGATTGGAAAAGAAAAAACCTAAGCATATCTGGAAAGGAATCGGGTTTGAGAAATAATAGAGGCCATAACCACAAAATAATTATGTGTATAGTACCCGTAATTCACATTTGACCTTCTAAGTGTGAAATTATTAATGAAAAAATAATTGCTATTTAATCTTTTTTTTTGTAACAACAACCTAATATGTTCAGTTCAATATTTATGTCACCCAAGCATTTTGTTTTTTCTATTATATTTTATAACTAATTTTGTTCAATGTTGTTCTTTTTTCAACAACTCTTTGCCTAAAAAAAAAATAAAAAAATTGAGGACTTTAATAAAAGCAACATGCATTATAAATGGTTCTGATAAAATAACAGCTTTATTTAGTTGAGTCAAAAGCATTAAAGATATCTTACTAATCTTAGTACCCTACCATAGTAAACAACACTGCAACAATTTGTTGGCATGGTATTAAGTCAAATAATTATGGCTGTATCTCTCTTCACCTAAAACTTTAATGAAGAACTTTCTAGACCAGGAGTAATACCATGGCATTAAATTTTTAGACCACATGGACATTTGTTTTCTTTTTAATTACATTAAGTTTTATAAATGGTACCCATTCCAGAAATACTTTTCTATGCTGTCATCCTTATGACAATTGAATAAAAATTAAATCAAATTCATTTATGTAGTCATTAACAGCTAATCAGAGTTAAGTAAAATATTTTCTTCGGCACCCAAGCAGGTCAAGATGTAGTTTAATTGTGCTTTGAATACAATGGCATTAACTGTTGAAAGAGAATAAAAAATTGTATAACCTAAATGCTGACATGAAGTCATATATTGGCGTTTATATAACTATAGGAGCTGGGATCCTCATGTAATTTGCTTTCCATCTTTTCTTTATGAAAATAAAACGTTCTTTAAATACTCATCTCTTTACCTGAAATATCTGTTGCTTGCTTTTTATCATGAGACAAACACTAAAGGACAGTGACAAAATATAGTGCGTTTTTACACACCTTGCATCATTATATTAACTTAATACTTTACTGTACATAATTTTACTTAAACATTTTAAGTTACTGAATTGGTTCAGTTCAAAAGATATATGAAAGAAACATCAGTTTCATGTAATAATTTTGCCAGATTAATTTACTAGTATTAGTATTAATGTACCGTAAACAAGCATTTCTGAAACTTGTGGCCGGGTTATTTTAACACTTCAAGACAGTGAACCATTAAAAATTTGTATGGCCTACTCAGGCATATAGGTAACATAAAACATGAATAATATTTACTGAAGCAAACCTGATAAGTTAATGGTGATGCTGTTTTAACTCACCCGGATTTGTAAAGAAAATTACATTGTGTAATTGTGTTACTTGTGGCAAGACCATTTTAAATATAAAAACAAACTTAAGATCACCTGGTTACAAAACGTTTATTCTGTGATTATATATATACATCATTCCTACAATATGATCATTCAAAATTAGAGATACCCATTACATGATGCGATAAAGAAAGGGAAAATGAAATGGAACCTCACATCAAACCTTCCATACCAAAATAAATTTGTCATGATGAGCAACCTCAGTTTAAAAAAATTGAAGTTCAATAAATAGACGATTAAGCTAATGTACCCTTAACTGTACCGGTATACAACAAAATATTACAATAATGCATGGACAAAACCATTCAGTTGTGCCATCAAATTAAAATAGAGCCGCAACTTCCACCCCCGCCCCTTTTTCACATTTGCTGGTCCAACAATTTGGAACGCCCTTCCTGTCTATCTCAGAAACAACCAGACACTATAGTCCTTTAAAACCGATTTAAAGACACATCTATTTCGCAAACACCTTCTGGGATGACTGTCTACCATATTTTCCAGTTAATTGCATATTGGCTGTGTTGCTTAGGGTTGAAATGGCTAGAAAGACTTTGACTTGGTATGCTTGTAATTAGTTTTTGTAGTGTTGCGTTTGTTTTGGGGATGAGCATGTTTTAGAAATAAACTTTATTATTATTATTATTTCCCCCTCTCTTTTTCCATTATAGGAGACCCTCATAATATGGAAGCACTCACACTTTAACATAGTGGAATACCAGTACTCACAAAAACTAAGATACATTGGAATGTAGAAACAAAAACTCACAATTTTGATGTGAAGGTGTTTAAAAGAAAGAAATATGAGGAGAACTTCACATATTGAGATTTGTTTCAATTTTGTTAACACTACATACACTTAACAGAGAATGTGGGATGGCCCATTTTCTAGCTATGTGAAGATCACAGATTTAGAAAACTGGCTAGTCCAATAAGTAGTATCTACACAATCTTGATTAACTACAATTATAACATTGAATTATATACAGTTTGGTCATAGTATCACAATCATTTACATCAATAAAGCAATTTTCATGAAACTGCCAATTTAAAACTATCACAAAAGGCCTTAAAAATAAATTTGAATAATCTAAGACAAATATTCACTAATACTCTGGACTAAATTAGTATAATAAATAAGAGAAACTCTTTGCCTAGGTACAAATTTACTTTAAATATTGGGAAACTTTACAGTTTCATATTGACATCCACAAGCTGTAATAAAAAAAGTATAAGGAAGAATATTGAATTCAACACCATTTTCAAAACAGTGTGACTATTGTCAGGCCCGGAATCAAAGTTAACATGACCAAAGATAGGCAAAGAGTTAACAAGGGTGGGTTCAAATGACTGCATTAAAATCTTTGGGATAATATTAAAGGGCAGTTGTTTCAGCTTTACTTTTACCACCGGCTGCATGCTGTGTTGACGCTCTAGGATAGTACTGGGCCAATGTGGCTTGTGGAATTCTCTTAAGCATCTCCTTGGGGAAGATACGAAGTAATTGCCAGCCAATGTCCAAGGACTCAAAAATGGTTCTCTTCTCATAGTGACCTGAAAATAAAATTATTTCATTGTAAAAAAAAAAAAAACATAATCATAAAGCTTACAAAATAGTAACATAACAATGCTATTTGAGGATACAATAAAATAAAAAGATTGATAGTTACAGTTTATTTGTTTACAATGTCCTTCAAAAATACTAACCCTGAGTTATAAAATTTTTCTCAAATTTAGTAAGGAATTCCAGGTAGAGTAAATCTTCAGGTGTCAATGCTTCTTCACCAACCACAGCTTTCATGGCTTGGACATCTTTGCCAATAGCATAGCATGCATACTGAATAAATTAAAAACAAGTTAATTCAGAACAAATTACCTCAACGGAATACTAAGAACATGTGAAAGGCCAACATTTAATTCGAAGAACCTGATGAAAACTTACCAACTGATTAGAAACATCAGCATGATCTTCTCTGGTCATCCCCTCACCAATGGCAGATTTCATCAAACGTGACAAAGATGGGAGCACATTAATGGGTGGGTAAATCTGTAGAAAAAAGAAATTTATGCCTTTTAAAAATCTGCTAGTCTTTTGTCAATTCAGATTTGTTACAATACAGACCAAATCCTTTGGCTTTAACCAGTAAAAACACTTAAACATCTGGACAAGATTGTGCTAAAGAGTTATATTTTTTAAAGAACAAGTTATTAAAATTTCCAAAAGAACATGCAAGGCCCTAAAATCAATATGATAAAATGTGAAGTCAAAACATGGAACAGGAAAAAAAAAAAAAAAAGCACTTGCCTGTCTGTTGTGCAATATATTTTTTAAAGAACAAATTATTAAAATTTCCAAAAAAAAATGCAAGGCCCTAAAAACAATAAGAAAAAATGTGAAGTCAAAACATGGAACAGGAAAAAAAAAAAAAAAAAGCACTTGCCTGTCTGTTGTGCAACTGTCTGTCTACATACATCTGCCCCTCAGTAATGTAGCCGGTAAGATCAGGAATGGGATGGGTAATGTCTGAAAGACATTGCAAGACCAAAGATAATAGTGGGAAAGATCAGATAAAGTGCAGTACAGGTCAAGCTATGACACAAAATACAGGGTAATAAGGGGAGAGACTGCAATCAGGTTATCACAAAAGCACAATAAAAAAATAGCAGATGCAATTCTCTGCCCTCTTGGATATTACTTCTCAGCTAAGTGCTATTTTTTAATTTTATTCTGATGGTTAGCTGACAAAGGCTTCCTGCGGACATGTTTGTTGTCTTGTAGCGTTCCTTTTTTTTCATGTTTAACCTTATTTTGTTTTACTAATATCCTACACAAAATACACATTCATATTTCTAAAAACAGAATATACCATCATTAGGCATGGTCAAAATAGGAATTTGAGTAATGGATCCATTTCTGCCTTCAACACGACCAGCACGCTCATAGATGGTGGCCAAATCTGTGTACATGTAACCTGGGAAACCACGACGACCAGGCACTTCTTCTCTGGCAGCAGAGACCTGATTGTTGAATAAAATATAATACAAATAACTGTAAGCAAAAATATTTCATATTTACTGGGGATGGGCAGCATTTTTTTTGCAGTGGGTTGCTTAAGTTACAAGTATCTTTGTGCCGCATGTCAATTCATCATAAAAGATTTTACAGACGGGCTTCAAAAATTTGTTTCAACTTCATTTTGAAAATTTCAAACATACTGATTGATTTTTAAAGTACTTTTACAGATACCGGTACTCATTCACAATCTGTCCATTTCATGAAAACATAAATCTGTTTCTTGGAAGGCCTTGCACCACATATTGCAGGATTTTTTAAAATACAACAATTATTTCAATAACATTATAAACATACTTCTCTCAAAGCTTCAGCATAAGAGCTCATGTCTGTCAAGATGACAAGAATGTGTTTCTCACACTGATATGCCAAATATTCAGCAGTGGTCAGAGCTATACGTGGAGTGATGATACGTTCGATTCTGAAGAGATATTGACACTTATTATACACATGATGCCAGTAGGACATGACCAACTTAAAAATAGAACTTACAGATGAAGTCATATCCAGCAAACACGTTCAAAGCAAAAACAATTATAAGTAGTATCGCTAACAGCTACAGTTAAATAAAAGCAACTTACGTGGGATCATTAGCAAGATTTAAAAACAAGGATACATTTTCCATAGAACCATTTTCTTCAAAATCTTGCTTGAAAAACCTGGCAGCTTCCATGTTGACCTAAAAGTATTTGAAAATTTAAATGACTGAAAATTGTTTGTTTAGTGCTATGGGCTAGAACTACAACTGTTAATTTTGTTTACAGAAAAACTACATTTCAGAGACGCTAATCGAACCAAACTGGCTGACCCAACAATTTTTTTGAAAACTATTAAAGTGCAACTTAAGAAAAAAAAAACATAATAGGTAATTTAACTTCTAAATAGAATTTAGCCAAAAAAAAGATAATTTTTCCACCTTAAAAAAGCATTACTTTCAAATTGATTATTATGAAAGACTAACAATAGTAATAGTATGAAACATCTTTTATCTTTATGTTGATTATGCAACTTCTGCTTTTAAAAAATGGCTTTCGAAGCAATGGATAAAATGCTGAAAGAAAGGCCTGGTGGAGCTTCACCGGTATTTAATGATTCTAGCAGCAATAGTGAAGCATCAGATATTGACAACTTAAATGATGCTGGTGATGGTGATTCAAGTGAAGAAGATAATCATAGTGACATCAATGTCTACCAATTCCATTACAACTGATCAGCAAGATCATGAATGATCTAGTAATTTTTCTCCAAACAACCTATTTCCATTTACAAAGCAATGTCCAAAACATTATTTGCTTGATGATGCAGTTGCATATCATTTTGTTTATCCCACATTAAAAATTTTTATCAACACATGGCAGAGCAATTTATGTATATGCAGCACAGTATGCCACAAAAAGTGGCAAAAAAACTTACTGGCAACCAGTTTGCTGAAGTGAAATCAATTATTTTTTTTTTTTTTTTACATAAATGTGATTTTGGGAGACTCGTACTGGTCTCTAGATCGAAGAGTTCCAGCCATAGCTGACATCATGAGAAAGAATAGATTTAAGAAAACAAGCAAACATTTTCATTTAAATGATAACGACAATTCTGTTGGGACAGCCAGGCCATGATCTCCTTTTTAAAATTAGACCCCTTCTGGATCTCATTATAAAGAACTTTCAGGAAAATTATTATCCAAGAAAAATGCTTAGCATCGATGAGGCAGCAACAAGGTTCAACAGCAGATTATTCTTCAAACAGTGTATAAAAGCCAAACTAACTATGAAGGCATCAATGTGTGGCGTATTGCTGGACACACACACCCCCCCCCCCGCAGTTTATGTGTAATTTTCTATTTTATACAATGGAAAGATACGCAACCCAATGTCACTTGGCATGGGCAACCATGTCATCTTTGCAGTGGGAAGACATTTAGAAAAAGAACATTTCTACTTTGACAATTACTTTTAAAGTATCGAACTTGCAGAGGATTTTTTGTGGGCAGCAAGCACAAACAGGTAGGCATGGCCACTAAGTGCTGAGAAGATGAAAGGTGCTGATCTTAGTTCTTTACAGAGAGGCAGGTTACTGGCAACAATTTGGTGCGATAAATCTCCATTTTTTCTACACAGAGAATGGTGCAAAAACTCTTAGGTAAGAGAAGAAAAGGAAGGGCCCAGCGATGTTGCAATTCCTCAACCCATCTTTTCCTACAACAGGCACATGGGTGGTTTGGCTTGGCAGAACAGTGCGGATCCTACAACCCTCTTCGCCTCACTAGCAAGACCAACAAAAAAAAAAGCAAAACTGTCTTTATATTCATTTTTGCCAAATTCACAGGTGCAATGGTGTCAGAGACTAGGAAAACCCATGATATAGGACAACATGAAGACAAATAAATTTTTCTTCTTATTTGTGAGATTTTTTAATGTGAAAACTGGATTTCATCTTTCAAGGTCCACCAACCATAAAGTATGTTTATTTGTATTTAGGTATACATTTTATTTTCTTGCTGCTGTTTATTTTCTGTATTTCTTTTAGATAAAGAACATTGATTTAAAATAAAGTTATGGCCCTTGCTCTAAAATTGCGAGTTGAGAAGGCTGAAGAGGCTTAGAAGTAAAGGGTGTATAATAATATTATTGAATATAAAACCTACCCCCATGGCTGCAAATACTATGGCAAAGTTATCTTCATGACTGTCCAACACGCTCTTTCCAGGCAGCTTCACAAGACCAGCCTGTCTACAGATTTGAGCTGCAATCTGTAAAGAAGATGGAAGCAGTCAAACTTCCAGATACTAAATAGCTTTGAAATTACTTTTTTCTCTCTTGAAACACTAAACATATTTGACTTAAGTCAGTTATGTACGCTAATTGCTATAGTAACCTACTTCATTATGAGGGAGACCAGCAGCCGAGAAGATAGGGATTTTCTGACCACGAGCAATACTATTCATGGTGTCGATGGCAGAGATACCTGTTTCAATCATCTCTTCGGGATAAATACGTGACCAAGGATTGATAGGCTGACCTGTTAAAAACAATTATAGCTTTCCTTACTTATGGTTTCAGATGTTCCTTTAAAAAAAGAAGAAACAGGTGAGTAAGTTTAAGCATCTTACAGTTTGAATGTTGTATGTAAATACCTTGAATATCCAGGAAATCTTCAGCTATCACATTTGGACCATTATCAATGGGCTTTCCAGATCCATTAAATATTCTTCCTGTTTGACAAAAAAATGTAAAAAAAAAAATCATCAACTATGTCTTTTATTATGGAACAGAGGGGAGAAAATAGCAAAGGGAAATAAAACACTTTTTTTCTGCAACTAAAACAAAATTTTAATGAAAAGTTATAAATTACCTGACATGTCTTCAGAAACTGGCATTCTCAGAATATCTCCTGTAAATTCACATTGGGTGTGCTTTGCATCTATACCCGAAGTACCTTCAAAAACCTATTGAAATTCACAATATGTTAGTTAAATTCAAATACTAGTCTATTAGACTACATTTAACATTAAATTTAAGATGCTTATATTTTTTAACGAACTAATGTACCTGAACAACAGCTTTTGAACCCATTACTTCCAAGACCTGTCCTGATCTCTGAGATCCATCAGCAAGAACAAGGTTGACGATTTCAGCAAACTTAGGAAACTTGATAAAATATAATACAAAAAAATGAAAGGCTCAAATAAAATGTAATTTTACTGACACCTATTAAATTACTAATCAGATTTCTAAATGATTTGTAATAGGAATAAAATTTTACTAAAATGAACTTTTAAAAACGGGAGGCCAACAGATGTGTATCCATTACGTTGAGATTCTGTTGCTAAAATATGAATGTAAATAAATGATGATATATACTTGCCTTGACATTGTCCAAAATAACCAAGGGTCCATTCACACCAGAGACAGTTTTGTATGCTGAGGAAAAAATGGGTAATCTGTAAATTTCATATCATTTGGTCATTAGAGTGTTTGAAATTGTTATATCAAATTGTATTCATTCATGCATCACCAAATGAGTGAGAATGAATAAAGGTCAAAGTGAAGGTGACACCTTTCACACCTAGGGGTACTTGTGAATTACTGGTTAATATTAATATTTAAAAATCTGAAAGACATTGAAAAGACTTTAATCCCACTTTGTTAAATATTTGATTCACAAGTGATGGGAATGAATATTTGTAGTATTTTAATCACCAAAAAACACAAATATTAGGCCTTGTCAGAAAGAAAAAAAGTGTGCTGGCGTTACAGAAGACTAAATACTTAAAAATATTGAGGACATAATGTACATTTATACAATTTTAAAACTACTATATCTAAGGCGACTGAGGTCAACTCAATGATGAAATGGATAAAGTAGAACAGAATCAGGTCTTCCTAATTTGATTTAATTAAATAATAGTAATACCCAATAATACAATATATGTCAAATACAAGAATAATAGGTCTAATTAATTATATTTATACTAATAAAAGTCACAAAAAGATTTACCATCATACTCATATCTTCTGAATACAATTAGTATGGACCAAAATAGTTAGTGCCATTTGATGTATCCTTAATAATAAATTATATTATTATTTGATAAATAATCCTTACTTTTGTTTTTGCTACAAATAAAAAAATTAAAATCTACACTTCACTTGAGTTGTGCTTCTTGACCTTAGTGTTGGTAAATGAAAACCAAGATACAACTAGAATCAAACAAAAAATTACAAATGTTGGCTTCTAAATATTAGTAACAGTCAACATTTGTTGTACACCAAATCATTTTTTGAGAAACGAAAAAAATCAATGACACAAATCACAAAATAAGGTTGCATTTAAATAAATTAAAAACAAATAAGGCCTATCTAAGCCGACACTTAAATAATGTCTTTATTTAATTTCTTTAAAAATCTTACTTAGCCTTGGTTGAGAAATATAATCTCTTGTAACGGCTAATTTGTGAGTTTTCTGAGCCGCAATTTCATTTAGAGGCCCATGGAGAGAGTTTATTTTGATCGTCGCTGCCATCTTCCAGTGTTGTTGATCATGTGATGGTCATGAAAATCACGAGCCGGGATGCCAGTTTTCAACGAGTGTTAGAGCAATTCTCTGGAAACCTGGTCAACTATGTGAAAGTAGCTGAAGTTTTATTTATTTTATAAACAAATTATGTTATATTATTTTCAAACGGAAAATAAATTTTTTTAGCCCCATTGCTCGATATTTTTCCAGATATTTGTTGAACATATATATATAGATAGATAGATAGATATAGATATATATAAAGAAAATCTAATTAAAATTACATTTTATCTATTATTTTCAATAAGATAATTTAAATTAGTTTATATTGTGAAATTATAAAATTTGGATCTTTAATTCGTATTTAAAAAATTTAATTAAATTCCAATCAAAAACTTAGTAATATGAGGCGAAGATTGTATAACTTTGTACTATTTTCATTGTTGTATTTTGTAATATTAACAGGCAAGTTAGATCACATGCCACAAACGGAAGCGCCAAATTTTTTTAACCGTAGTTATCCGCAAGACTGATAAAGAATCATCAGCTGGGTGATGACAGGTTATTTTCGGATAAGTATGCCACTTTGTCCTACCACAATTAATAATAAACATAAATTTAAATTACAATCTTAATAGAGGATAAAAATTTATCTCAGAAAAAATCAAAAAATCACATCTATTTAAAAGATCAAAGAAAATATTATAAATACAAAATGACAACTTGCAATGCCTTAAAAATATGTAATTTAATAGTATATATGATAGTAAGAAAAGAAGCACGCATTAGGGCCGGCGCTAAGGGGGTAAGTGACCTTGGAAAAATTGAATATTACGGTGCCTTTGACATAAATACCACAGTAGATCTGATATTAAGACAGCCACTAGTCGTACTGGGTATTACTGGTCATAATAAAACATGTCATACCGGGTATTTGTTCACTCGCTAAGTTCAGAGCGGTTCTTAGGAGTTTGGGGGCCCTAACCATGGAGCGTAGGTTGGGGGCCCCGGAAAGGGGGGGGGGGGGGCCGGGGTTGGGGCTCCCTCGAGCTGAGGAGAAAACATCACCCACAACTGCGGCACCTCCATTCTGTCTTCATCAATGTTTCCTCTTTCCCATTCCCACGGCCCACGATAAATTTGAGGATGAGGAAGATAACGTGAGTGACACAGACGGCTGCAGAGCCAGTTTTTTAAAAAAAAAACAGGGGGTCGAGGGCGCCCCACGGGGGCACCCTCACGTTTGGGGCCCTACGCAGATGCGTAGTCAGCGTATGCCCTAAGAACGGGCCTGCTAAGTTTACGATTATTATTTTTTTTAAATGTATTTATTTATTTATGCACCGTAACAGCTGTTCCCAGACGATAGACCAGTCCGGGCACCAAAGTGAGCTTTGAAAGTAATGGGTTTCGGAGTATTTAAAATTGTGTGTGTGGGGGGGGGGGGCTAAAAATGAACATTTTCCCTGAGCTCCAAATAGTCTAGCTAAGCCTCTGTTTTCTTGAGTCGTTTCTCTCAACATTTTTGCTCTTTGAGTAAGTTCGAACAATCACGCCACGAAACAACACTTGAAGAACAATGCCCCAATCCACTCTGTCTTTGCTCAAATTATCCAAAATCGTGGTGCGGAGTTGCTCAATGTCATATAGAACGCCAAAAATGTCAAAGTACAGTTGCGGTTGTTGAATACGTTTCGTCGAGGATCCCAACCCCTGGTTTACTAACCACAAGAAATATAGTATCCTGAAAGATTTATTAATCATTATGAGTGCCATTTGACCATGGCAAGCAGAAATGCAACATCCCTGGTCGTAGTTGGGAAGACAAGCAGCTTCATCGTTCACTTTAGGGCATTCACGCGATTGAACTATGAGGGATATTAATGGGAAAAGCAGTTTTTGTTTAATATAAAATATATTCTATCTCCGAACATTTCATTGAATGTTAATAATGAAATATAAATAGGCACAACCTTGCTATCTTAATAATAAATAGTACTATAAGGGCTACGAGCGAAGCCTTGGACGTTAGCCACCCCCTTAGCGCTAGCCACCCTGCTAGACCCTGCACGCTTCAAAGCATAGGCCTAGTACTATACACTTATGACAAGCGATTTTTCAATATTTTCTCAGCCACTACTTATGGCTATTTTTGTCTTTTTAAAATTTTATTATTATTTTTTTTTTTTTTTTTTTTTTTTTTTTTTTTTTTTTATTTTTTTTATTTTCTTAACACTGAA